CCCCCACAAAACCCAACAACCCACCACCCCCCGCGGGGATAACCGCCTGGGCGCCTACTCGCCATCCCCACTCGCCACAGCCGCGCGTGGCTGCTGTTTTCAGCCTCTAGTTTGCCCGGGAAGGTGGTGGTTGAAATCGGCGCTCTGTCACGACAGTGTCGCGCCGCCTGAAATAGTTCCTAAACATCCATTTCTCATGGTGAGGATAATGGGTAAGGGAAGGCGATAGTGGGACAAGAAATGCGCATTCCAAGAGGCTGAGGCGCGAAGTGTCCTCTCTCCGACTGCGTCATTCGTTTTGTACTGTGGATGAAAGTATGCACTTAGGCTTGTAAGAATTGTGTTCCTACGTTAGGCCTTCAAACTACTTTCTCTTCAGAGTAAATGATAGTAATAGCAAACTCCACAGAACACTCAGATTTCACAAATGCTGAAGAAATGCGCGTTTAACAAGAGTTTCCAATCTTTCCTCTAACTTTGACGTTAGATATTTGCATTGACAGATGGTTATCAAATGAAGTGACACTCAAAAGCGAGCTCCACACCGGTCTGTAGCGCTACTGAAACCACATTTCCAAAAAAGCTCCTTCCTTTCTCCACACAAGATCAAACTGCCGATGTAACAGCCCGGCGCCAGGGAACACGTTTCTCAAACTATCAGGAATCAACTCGGTTAAACGGGGAATGATAAAAGGAGTTAAGAAAGCTCTGGATTCAGCGGGAGTATCCGGGAGCTACCGATCATTTGTAAAGCGCAAATGGACTGTGAAATGTGAAGTGCTCTAAGCTGGTTTGGACACACTTCTGCTAAATGTCAAATTACCACTATTTCGGCAGCAAATCCAAACTACTCTGAACAGTGGGGGAAGGAAAGAGAGAAATGGAGAGGGAATTATGTTTACAAAAATTGAGAGACGCAGGTATTTGTAACCTCTTACCTCTTCTTATCACACCTCCTTGCCCGTTCAGTACAAGTCCACACTGGGCCTCCACTGAGCTCTTAAATAACGAGGGGACAAAAAAGGAAAGAAAGGAAAGAAAGAAATCAGATAAAGAAACCCACAGAGAGATCACATAGCTTTTGCTTTGTTACACGACTCGTCCGGGAACAATTAGTTAAGGCGAACTGGAAAAACACAGTTGTTCTCATCGAACTGAAGTGCTTTGGCGAAAACCCACCGCCATCATGCAGTCTGCCCCGACCCCATCAAATGCAGAATAATTATCTCTTTTAAATAATGATCATATTTAAGTACGAGTTTTTCCTGAACTGGGGACTTAGATCGGCAGTTATGTGGCAGGATAGAGACAAACAAGTACTTGAGAGAAGTGTGTTCCCGCTCTACAGTCGCATGCACAAAGGTAAAACCACACTTTTAGGTAGTACTTATGTATGTTTAATGGTATTATTTATATGTAAACACACATCTAAATTAATACATATGTTTCGTGACCCACTAACAAAGTGCGCACAGAAGTAGACAAAGAGCACAAACAACAGACGACCTATTGGGCTTTGCCGGCTACACAGAGTCGTAAAGCTGTTGTAACAATGCGTGAGTCCGCACATAGGTGGGAATGAATATGCATCTGTGTACACACACACACAGAGGCACCCATGTGTGAGTCTGGGGTGAAGAACCATCCAAAAACCTGCCTAGGGCTTCTGGTGCACATCCGAAGGGATCTCACTTCTTTATTCTCCTGTTACAAGGCTGATTATTTGGGGATCTTCGCCCTCCTTAATAAATATTTTTATTGGAATGATAAAAGACTTGAAAGGGTTGGGTTTTCTTTGGGTTTTTCCTTATGTTGGGGTTAAAAAAACACAACAAACCAAACCTAAATCTTTGCCCAGTGGAAATGTGTTAAAGACGCATTTTCCTCTACAAACAAACGAGGTATTGGACATGAAAGAGGCCTTTAAGGGTGTTAACCTACTCAACAGCCCGTGAAGAGTTAAGTAAATGCGGAGAGAGTCGGTGCATAATAAAAACCCCACTTTACAAAACAACCTTTACAGTCCTGGCTCTCTCCCCCACTTTCACCATATTGGCGCTGGCCCTGTAAGACCTTCCTTTTCAAGGCTCTTTTTTATTTTAAGTGTTCTGCCTTAAAGTGATTATGAAATCAATATGAAAAAAACTTGGCGACTGAGCATAAATTAAAGCGGTGATGGGAAAAGGTGTGACAGTTTTCTTTGTTGCCCATGGAAAATCTTTTTAGGGCACTGAAAGATGCCACTCCAGCTCCAAGACTGTTTGCATCTGTTAGGCTGACTTAAACCGCCCTCGAAACTATTGGACATTCACTTAAAATTCTGTGCAGGGAAAAGTATATTTACATTTGTTGCATTTGAAATGAGGCATATGCTGATGAACGTTTTAAAAAGAAAGACCAAGGAGAAAGGGGAAGACTGGTTAGACCACAATTTTTGCGTTAAAAGTATTTGTGTACAGCCCTGTTTCTGTTCGCCACCAAAACGCTTCTCCCTAAGCTCGAGGTGATATTCGCAAGAGCCCAAGTTTGTTCTGAATGATCTAAATCATAACGACAGATATTAATATTTTCAACTTCTCACCGCTCAGGCTTTTCGATACCTCAGTACACTCCCTCTTCTGTTCGGGAAAAGAGGGAGGAGGAAAAATAAAGAAGAGATTAGGTACAAAGACGTTAAGTCTTTTACTTTCAAATAAAGCGTGATCGAAAAATTAATATTTTCCAAAGAAAAGCTGTAGATTTTTTTCTTCTTTAAATAAATAAATAAAAAAGAATGTGCCTCTAGCAGCTTAACCAATCTCCCTCTCTCTCTCTCTCTCTCTCTCTCTTTTTTTTTTTTTTTTTTTTTTTTTTTT